TTTTGAATCTTGTGGTCTTAATTATGGTCAAAAAAGGAAAGATACATTCTTTTCTAGAGGACTACAAAGGAAAGTAAGACAAACAAATTGAAACGGAGGTGCATCAAACAAGCTAATAAGTTTATTATACTAGTAGTTGCAAGATTCGATTTCTTATTTATGCAAGAAGAAATATACAAAAAGCATATTAAGATGACCTACAAAGTATATAAAGTGTCACTAATCAACCAAATTGTATCTGATTATGTTTACTTTGAGCTAAAGCGGTTTATTTCAATGTAAACATAAAAGAGTCACTTCTCAGAAGTATTTTTAGGGCTTCAAAAATTCATCTGCACAATCTATTGTCTATACATAAAAGGAGGGAGACTGCATGTACTTTTTTATGGTAATTTATCGTCGGTACAAAGAAGGATGGAGAAAAGGGTAATGACATACACAGAGCACATGTAAATAAAGGTGTGCAACCCTAACCAGAAGGAAATGAACGTCTATTTCTGAAAAGCAAGGCAACTTGATCCGAGACATTCTTACTGTGCTTGTAGATGTTTCATTTTCAAACGGATCATGAGATAGCAGAGTTGACGTGAAACATAAGCAGCCATTGTAGAGTTATATCAGCTGAATGAGCTGCGTAATTGAAGCTACAAGAGCACCACTGATCCTTCACTTCTTTTGTCATCGCTCTTTCTGTAGCCATCCGAGCTGCACGAAAGAAGTATGTTAACAGAGAGGAGAATATAAACAATGCTTGATGAGCGGATTGAAAAAAATAAATACCTTCCAAGCATACATCCCCAGAAATGCTACAGTATCCGCTGACCAAACGACAGCAAATGACTTCAAGAAGAACGGGATTGCAACATTAAGCAAGGGAACGAGGAGAAAAAGATAATTGAGAGCTTCTTTCTCATCCTTGGAGCAGTCTCGAGCCCGAAGGGAAGGTATAGCTGCAACAACAGAAATTAACATTTGAGTTCCAATTTATAGCTAAATTGAGGGAATAGCAACAAGGGTACAAATTAACTTTCTACAGCTATAAGGATATTTATTTTTCAACACATATATACGGTCAAAAGTTCAATATATTAATTATGTCTCCTTACATCGTATCAATCAAGGTAGGTTGATCATTAATATGAAATACATTACAACAACTTATACCTCTTCATGATAGAGTTTACTTTGGTATTCACAACCAAGACTAGAGTTTATACTAACACAAAATGTTGGACACCATTTACTATCTGAAGGAAGTAACATCAGATATCAAATAGCGACCAACTAAAGCTGCAAATGGAACTTCAGATTATAGTCCTCCAATTGAGAGAACAATGGAAGGAAAACGAAATGAATTAACGGGCAGATGAACAATATATATCTACTTCACAAAAGTAGCTTAATATCACTCATAAGCAATATTCTTATGTGTTCTACTATTTCGGGGGTAAGGTTTAGTTGTATAAAGCAACATTACTTACTAAACATCCATATGGACCACATTCCCATTAGTCTCCAGATGTCAGGTTCAGTTGACGGAAATATGAGATTGAAGGACAGAGCTCCACCTATCAACATTGAAGCATAGGCTTGCACTTCAAAAACAGTGTATAAAACAGTTCCAGGTTTCGCAGGGTTTTTCGTAGCAGTGGAAGCCCTTGGTGCAAAGGTTGAAGCAGTCTTTAGGACAGCCTGGAAGAGAGTATTTTGAAGTTAACACACATATAATTAGTCTATTATATTTGCCCATGTATACAGAAAATTTAAAATGTAAATTAAACAGCTATTTTAAAATGAGTTTAACTGAAAGTAGGGATTCATTTAGCCGACCCCAACTTGTTTGGGACTGAGGTGTGTTTGCTGTTGTTTGTCGTAATTATAGAAAACAACATCAGACACATGACATTTTTGAAGCTGGTTGGAAGAAAACTACAATCTTTTAAACTTTTTACCAAATGGATCATTTCTAACGTCCTCAATGACACGCTCATGCAAAATCTACGATTCATACTATTGGACCTCTCTTTTATGCTAATTCTAGTTATTAGGAAATGGACCTTGCGACTAACTCAACTCCATAATCTAGTTTTCACACAGCAAACTTACTTCAAGCATTCCATAAACTTCGAGTGACCTTTATCTTTCCTCTTCGACAGCACTACCAAGTCACTTGAATCTCTGCCCTTTGCTTTGCCCCCCACCCCACCCCCCCAATAACCAATAAGCAGAAAAAGGTTGCAGTTAATTGCCCTTCCTGTTATCATCCAACAAATGACTACCATACATGCCTTGTGCCGGCAAGCTACCCTCGCCTACCTCATCAGTAGGCATTTCTATCTGTCCACCCGCCCGCGAGATCAGATAGACTACTCTACTTCAGTTAGACGATAAAGGGCCATGCTTGAAAGAATTTCATTAGTTCCTTCCACCTTTGAAGTAATGCTTTTGTAATATGAGCATTGTCTTGGTGCTATTAATTAAAGTATGCTCCTTTCTAATAAAAGATCATGCTTGTAAGTTATACAAGTAGAGAAAACACAAACACTTCCTCTGTTTCAATCTGCTCGTCTTACTTCCCTTTTTAGTTAGCTTCAAAAACAATGTCTCTTCACACACCAAACAACACGGTTAAAACTACAAGATTAAAGGACATTTTGATACATTTCACATATCTCTAGTTTAAGGCCACAACATTCAAATTCTTTCTTTATTTTCTTAAACTCCGAGTCAAGTCAAAACCAGACAATCAGAGTATAATATAACAGTATATCAAAAAATTGGATAAAACTGAGTTAAAAGAATAAATAAAAATCTCACCTTTTTGAGTTCCTTATTATCAAGAACAGTACTAGCACCAGTAGAAGTAGAATTTTCCCCACTTCTTTCTTCCTCCTCCTCAGTACTATTAACAATAACCCCATCACTTTTTTCTTGAATTTCCTCTTTTGGGTCTTCAATTACTTGTTTATTCAACTCATTTGAACTTGCAGAAACACAAAATCTGCAACTTTTTCCTCTAATCAATGGAGATTTCAAGAACCCATTTTTCTGGGGTGGGAAAAATTTCAAAATTTGGTAGTTTAAAACTGATGCTGAAATTGTAGTAGCTGAATTCATCTTTTTGTACTAAATAGAGTTTTTTTAGGTCTCATGAAGAGCTACAACATTTTGTATACAAATTGGATTTTTTATTTTTTTTTGTGAAACATAACAAGATGAACTGTGAAAGAGAAATCTTGAAAATGGAAAGGATAACAGAGAGGAGAAGTGTCAATTTAATTTGTGGCTACAAAATGACTCAATAGGCACATCTAGTGTAGCGGTTAATGAATTGGTTGAAAATCTTCATGTGTCACGTTTAAAATTTAACGAATATAAAAAATATTAGAGAATTATTTTCATCTATCTTAGTGTTGTTGATGGAAAGTGATAGATATTTCGTAAAATTATTCGAAGTACATAATAACTGACCTGAACACCATAATCATTACAAAAAATGATAGTTTAATATGGACCAATTAGATCCAAAATTTAGAGCTTTGATAAATATAAATGAGATAATGGTTTAAATACATCTCAATTATCATTGTTGTATGAGTTTTCTATATGAATTATTAGTGTTTATGTTTTTTGATTGAATTATCATAAACTATTTGTTATAACACATATTAATTAGTATATGATAATACACAACGATATCCTTTTTGAATTCGAAAGTAATTAAGAAAGACACATTTGAGAGCACGAAGGACTAATTTATCTTTACCAAAGGCTAAGTTATGAACAAACCATGTGCTCCCAAAGACACAAGGGGGAATAGAGTAAAGCTGCAAGTGAGGAAATAGTATGGAATATGGACCATGATTCTGAATAAAAGATGAGGGCATTCTATTAATCAAATAACAAGATGCAAGGACTTACACTTTTCTTGTCTTTTTATATCTTCTTCATGTATAATATTTTTCTATTCGTTTTGATTTCCTATCGTGACATAAATTTAAATTAATTGAATTTTAAAATGAATTTCAGATACTAGATCAAAAAGAAAAATAGATCGACTTGCAATGAGATTCGAGGCTCTAATATGGAGTCCACATACCAAGTGAAATTTTTTTTTAAAAAAATAATAACAAGTGCTTAATTATAATTAGTTAGTATAAGGTGAAATAAATGAAATTCTTCCACTAAATTAAATGTCTCATATTCAAAAAAAAAAAAAAATTATTAATAAAACAATTTTTTATTAATTTTATATAATATAGATTTAAATTAATCAAATGAGCAATTCTGAATTACAAATAGCCAGTAGTTTATCAGTTCTTTCAAATATATAAAACTAAATAAAACAGGGAGATTGGATTGCAGATAAACTCAACATTTTGTGGTTTACACATGACCAGCCACATGGTTCTCCCAGGAACCCATGTATGTGCATCCAAATAAAAATATATTTCTATGTATTTTTTTCTTTTTATATTAGAGTAGATTCCTATACTTAAATAAAATAAAAAGTCATTGAATAGGTTAAAATCCTCATAATTTATCATTATTTTGCAAAATCCATTAAACTGCCATGTTAAAATATTTGTGGAGGAATATGATGTGCTACATGAATATCACGCTTTAAATTTAAAAGCTTTTTTGAAAAGTTCTTTCCAAGAACGATACATATGATTTTCTTTTTTTATTATTAAACGAGCTAAAATTCTTTTATTATTGTGTCTCGCGAATTTATTTTAAAGATTTTTTTCATCTCTCACGCATCTTTCTCAAATATTTTGCTACGTATTCTATCACATATTTCATTTAAAGAAAATTATAATTTAGATATGAAACTCAAGATAAAGATTGTAAATAGTTTAGGAAGACTTTAATCAATTTGCTTTTTTTTAAAGAATAAAAGAATCACAAGTGGCTATTTTTTTATTCTAAAAAAAGGAGGTCTGTGGCTTTTCTTTTTAGATAAAAGCCAACATAACTTCTAACCTTTTCTTTTATTACATCAACTATAAGCCATTCAAAAATTTGCTTGAGAAACTATCATTTCTGTATCTGAAAAGAACATAGAGGTGAGCTTTGAAACTTCTTGAACTTGTATGTATATAAAAAAAAAATTGTGTAATATTAGATTGAGATGAGCTTAGATAGAGCGATATGAATCGGTGAAGATTCATGTAGCTGACTTCAATTTATTTGAGACTACAATGTTGTTGTTGTTGTTTGTTTGTTTGTTTTTTTGGGAGGTTTGCGAACTCGTGTTGATCCTCTAAAAATGCATTATTTGGAGGATCTGATACATATCTATTAGCATTTTAAAAGAGTCCGAGCAACATAGTTAATAAGCAAAACACATGAGATCTAGCAGTCAGTTGGAGGAGAAATTAGGAAGACTTAACATGTCAAATCTTGATTGGCTTCCTACTTTTTCATGTTAAGTTAGTGTTTAGCCATAAATTTTAGGACTACTTTTTAAAGATATGTTTGACTAGTTGTTAGCATTATGCTCCTGTTTGGCCATAGATTTTGAAGTTGAAACTTGAAGAGTTTTGAAGTTGTGTTTGGACATATATGAAAAAAAAACTGATGTTGGGTTCTTATGTCATGGAATTAAGTTCTATGCTTATAAGGGTGGAAAGATCGTTTCTGATAAACCCTCGACTCGAGTAACAATATTCATAAATATGAATTATGTAAATGAAACACCAAATTGGGACAAAAAAAGTTGAAGGTTCTGAACTTCTAAAGCTAAAATCCAAGCCACATACAAGCCGAGTTGTATGATAATAGACTGACACTGCTTATGAAGAATTATGTGTACGTCGTTGCTTGCTGTCACGAGTGTAAAACGTGTCACTAACTGTTTCCCATTACTACAGGCACCAAAAAAATGGAACCAGAAGAAAACATCAAGCCTCATGCCATAATGATACCAGTACTAGGGGTGCGCATCGGTCGGTTCGGTTCGGTTTTAGGTGTTATTGGTTCGGTTTATCGGTTTTCGGTTTGTAAATACTTCAAACCGATAACCAAACCAATAACATATTTCTTATCGGTTTTTGGTTAATCGGTTTATGGTACTTAACGGTTCGGTTTCCGGTTTAACCAATAAGAAAATACTCATATATATTATATACACGATAAGAAAATTTTCAAATAGACCATATGATTTTTCCAGCATTTGGCATGAAAGTAATAATCATAAAAGTAACAATCATTTTTCTTGCAAGTTTAGACACTAGACACATTCAAAGGAAAAAGTGTGAAAGTAACAATCGTTTAACCATTAACAAAAAGTGTGAAAGTAACAATCGTTTAACCATTAACAATAAGACTAGTAAATTTAGTATAGTCTTATTGGGTTATCGGTTTAACCATTAACAAAAATTATAAAACCGGAAACCGAACCAATAACCCAATAAAAAATTTTGCAAAACCATTTAAAAACCGTTAGCCCAATAACCCAATATCAATAAACCAATAGTGTTTTTTTCGGTTCGGTTTATTGGTTAAATCGGTTTTTGCACACCCCTAACCAGTACCACTACAAGGCCACATTGTACAATTTATCAATCTTGCAATAAAGCTTGCATCAAAGGGTCTCACCATAACTTTTGTCAATACACATTTAACTCATCAGAGGTTGATGAAAGCTCAATCAATCTCTGAAAACTCATCGGATTACAACATTTTCTCCGAGGCACAGAAGTCTGGCCTTGACATACGATACACAACTATAAGTGATGGTTTCCCACTGAATTTCGATAGAATGGGGAACCATGATCAGTTCATGGAAGGGTTGTTCCATGTTTTCTCAACACATGTGGATGATCTTGTTGGAAATCTTGTCAATTCTAATCCTCCAGTTTCCTGCTTAATTACGGATACTTTCTTTGTCTGGCCATCAGCAATCGCGAAGAAATATGATCTTGTTAACATATCATTCTTTACTGAAGCAGCTCTGGCATTCACAAGTTACTATCATATGGATCTCTTAAAAATAAATGGTCACTTTGGTTCCCAAGGTAACATTTTAGCTATTATAGCAAGTTGCATTGTACTGATAATGTATTAAAATTTTGAACTGTTTAACAGATAATCGTGAGGACACGATAGATTATATACCAGGCGTTCAAGCTATTGAACTAGGAGATCTTCCTTCATACATTCAAGATTCCGAGCCATGGGGTACAATGCACCGATACATATTCAAGTCACTTGAAGATGCAGGGAAAGCAGACATGATCATTTGCAACACAGTACAAGAGCTAGAGTCCTCAACAATAGCAGCTCTACAAGAGAAGAAGCCATTCTATGCACTAGGACCAATTTTCCCAAATGGCTTCACCAAAAGCACCATTCCAACGAACCTATGGATGGAATCAGACCCCACAGGGTGGCTAAATGGTAAACCAAAAGGTTCAGTTATGTACATTTCATTTGGGAGTCTTGCAAACATTAGTAGACAAGATATTCTTGAAATGGCTCATGGACTTCTCCTAAGCAGAGTTAGCTTTATTTGGGTGGTTCGTTCAGACATCACATGGTCATTAGAAAGTAATCTTTTGCCACCAAGATTTGAAGACGACGTAAAAGACAGAGGATTAGTGGTGTCATGGTGTAGCCAAATTGATGTAATTTCACATCCAGCTATCGGAGGATTCTTGACACATTGCGGGTGGAATTCAGTTTTGGAGAGTAGTTGGTGCAAAGTTCCAATGTTGTGTTTTCCTATATTCACTGATCAATTTACAAACAGAAAACTTGTGGTCAGTGAGTGGAAGGTTGGTTTTGATCTTTGCAGTGGAAGAATCCTCAAAAGACAGGAAATTGCACAGAAAATAGACTGTTTCATCACTGAAGCCAATAACTTAAGGATCAATCTAGAGGAAACGAGGAAGAAGCTCGAAGATGCATTATCCGAAAACGGATCTTCAGGAAGAAACTACAAACAATTAATCTGTGACATCAAGTCCAAAATTCAGCAGAAAAGCAAGAGTAACAAGGCAAGCTTTATTTAGTATGGTAACTAGAAGAAATATCTTTATTGGAACAAAACGCATCTCCATAATGAGTTGGAGGAACATTACATATGGTCACACCTTTTTTTAAAGGCTAATTTTTGCATTTACGAGCCAATTTTTAGAAATTAGCCGACTTTCTTGATTTTTCGTGTGTATTAGTCCATTGATCTGGCGCTTTGGGAGCACCCAAAAAAAAATTCTAAAAAAACTTCATTAGAACCTCTGTAATGAGTGGGGGAAGCATTACATATAGTCACACCATTTTTTAGGCATATTTTTCACATTTACGAGCGAACTTTTAGAAATTACACAACTTTCTTATTTTTTCGTGTGTAATGTCCATGGATCTGGCGCCTTAGAAAACCCAAAAAAAAATTCTGAAAAAAACTTTATGAGAAACTCCATAATAATTTGGAGAAGCATTGTGTATAGTCCCACCATTTTAAAGCATATTTACGCATTTACGAGCCAACTTTTAGAAATTAGCCGACTTTCTTGGTTTTACATGGGTATTAGTCAATGGATCTGGTGCTTTAGAAAACCCAAAACAAATTCTGAAAAAACTTTATGAGGACCTCCGTAATAATTTGAGGAAGCGTTGCGTATAATCCGACCATTTTTAAGACATATTTTCGCATTTTCGAACAAACTTTGAACTTGAAAATGCGTTGTTTTCCCCTCGGGACCAACTCACGCCATTAATAAGGTTGTAACGGATGTCCATGAAAAGTTTCGGCCAAAAACAAGTCGAGATCACATATCACCAAAAATTCATGAACTATAGCACATGAAAATCAGTAACTTTGGTTTTTCCCGCATTGGGCTCGTTTAAACTTGAAAATGTATCTGTTTGCCCCTCGGGACCAACTCATGCCATTAATAAGGTTGTAATGGACGTCCATGAAAAATTTCGGCCATAAACAAGTCAGGATCACATATCACCAAAAATCTATGGACTATAGCACATGAAAATTGGTACATTTGTACATCTGGTCTTTCCCACATTGGGGCTCGTTTGAACTTGAATATGCATTGTTTTGCCCTATGAACCAACTCACACCATTTATAAGGCTGTAATGGACGTCCATTTAAAATTTTAGCCAAAAACAAGTAGGGATCACGTATCACCAAAAATCCATGGACAATAGCAGATGAAAATCGGTAAATTTGATTTTTCTCGCTTTAGGCACGTTTGAACTTGAAATACCAAGTATACACTATAAATTGTTCGATCATTGTGTTGTAAGAACAACGAATGTTATGGCTCAAGTATTGTCTTCTAATTAAATTGAACGTTTGGATGGATTTTTGCGATTTTCATACAAAACTGGTTGAGGTCTTTCATCGATCGTTAAACTTTAAGAAAGTAGATGTTTCAATTTGGTCATAAAAGTCAGGTATTGGTGTCTTGATACATCTTTGTTGAGCCCGAATGTATAGAGTACCTCAAACTATGTGCCTCGTCAAGTAACAACAAGCACCTTAAAACAATCAACATCAATAACGCAAAGCCAACAACCAAATAATACAGTGATAATATAAAGGACAAGTGATAAGTTTCATACTCAGGTTCAAATCCGATACCTCTGATTTATGATGAAGAACAAAATTTCATTTGGTAATCCTAATTATTCTTGGTTTGCAAAAAGTATTTATACTTAGCAGCCTTCTTCCAAGCCTAAGCACTAACTGAGTTACTTATAGAATCTCAACTTAATTACCACTCCACCACAAAAGTTAAAGGTCTTTAATGCCCTTTGTATAGGATGGGTTACTGGATACGGAATTTCATACTAGGCTGGACCGACATCCAACCATAAGAGTCATACCGATCCAATTTGAGCTCTCTTATTAGGGAATACTCAAGGATTCAAACATTTTTGCTCTTTATTAGTACAAGAGTTTGAATCTCGCGTGTTTACCATTTCACAATTACCAAATTTAACAATATTAAAGTTTCACAAAAATAAGTTTTGGTTGCTCCACCTTTAATTAAAGATCTTGAACTCAAGTCGGTAACATTTAATGAAGAAGCCACCGGTAGAAAGTAGCTTCCCCTTAAATGAATCTTACACGAGTGCGGCCCCAAATTTGTTTGGCCGATTTCGAATATCAGATAATTAATTAAACCAAAATTAATTCAATAATTTAATTTGCACTAAATTAAATTCAAATTTTAAATCTTTCATTCTTCAATTATTGTTTACCTTTACCATAAAATACTTGTTGAAAATTAGTAGTTGGTAACATCATATATATATATATATATATATATATATATATATTTCTGTGCATTTAGATACAATATTATTGCTACATACAATAGATTAACTACAATTAATTTCTTCCTTCAATTCACTTCAAAAGAAACTAAACTAAACTATACACAAAAATTGAAAATTAATTTTCATTCTTCTAATTTTTGCTTCCATTCAAACCCTATAAACCTACAAGGAGAATACCTAATTTTATATTCAGAAATAGTCTCTAGTTTAGGTGACCAAATTTGCCCTTTTGTACCAACTAATTGTTCATATTGTTTCTTTAATTCTGGTGTATTACATAAAAACTTACCATCACTAGGACTTGTAATAATATTTTCTTGATCTTCATTTCCTCTTGTAAGTAGCTTTATTATGAACTCTTGTGACACTTTTATCAAAACCCTACCATTTTCCGCCTTTACGTATTGAAAAATAGGGTTCTTGAAGTTGACTGGAGTCCGTCTAGGGTTTGAGCCCAGGGTAGCTAGAGTAGAAGCTGAGAGCACGTTACACGATAGAAAATAATCTAGAGGGAGAATGAAGTACGTATCGCCATTTTTGAGCTTATCATCTATGTTTAAGGAGGGAATAGGGTTTCCGATGTAGAATGAGTCTGCATGGCAAACCATGCAGTCTGGGAACTCGAACATTATCTCTCCGGCTAGCCTTTTTCCGGTGACCACCCTCTTCGATCCATCGTGAAATATTAGGTTAACCATTGATGATCTTGAAGGACACATGAAGTAGCAACAAGATGAAAATATTGTCTTTCCCATTTTTTTTAAAATTTTTTTTTTTTTTTTGGATGTTGAATGAAAGGAAGAAAATGAGACAAAGAGTTGTTGGAATAATGTTTTTATGTTTTTTGAAATTAGGGCTTTTTAATTTGTTTATATATATAGAGAGAGGAGGAGTTGACTTTAAGAATAGGTCAATACTGGTGGCTTTGAATACCTCTTTATCACATGTATATCAAGTAATGTATATATAATTTTTGTACATAAATTAAATCATTTTTTGGTTTTCCGTCCGGTGATCTGTATCCGCGTTAGAGTTCGATCTTAAATTTGGATGTGTCTTGGAAAGTTTTACATTATTTGGAGAGTTGTAAAAACGTTCTCTGACAAAGATGATTTTATATTCAACTAGAGTTCGAACTTGAGACGTGTAGTTGAGGGTGAATTAAATTATTAGAGTGATACCATATGATATATTAATAATTGAATTTGCCCTTTAGGGTGGGGTAGAGGCAATATAATGGGATTAATGTGATAGAAAATCAAATAGTTCGAAAGTCAATAGTCTTATTATCATGATGTTTATATCAAGTGTTATAGTATATACTCAAATTTAATATCCTCTATCCAATTAATTATATTTGTTTCATGTACTTATTATATTCATAGTCAATAGTCGAAATTTATATACTTACTTGTAATAAATGTTTATATTATCTTTTGGTGACTCGTTCTGAAAGTTAAGAAGTTCGAATTTGAAATATGTAGTTAAAAATAAAAATATATATTTTTCTCCATCGCGACCCTTTGTGAATTTGACAACTAAACAATGTATTTAGTATTTAGGAAATTAAGTGCTATCACAAGAATTCAACCTCAAAAGAAGTTGACCTAGTAGTGATTGACTTTCAATAAGCAACTAATTCATTAGCTATTATTAAATTTTTGAGAGGGATAAGATTTCTTCATTTTTAATCAAAGCCAGAGATTTCAGGTTCGAGAAATCTTTAATAAAAAGGATATTCACCTTTAATATAATAAATCCTATGTAATACAAAATTGAATTAGTTAGGTCTATTAAGAAAATTTACATTTCTTGATTTAACTTTTGCTATTGTATTAAAGTATAAAAAAAAAGTATCACTTCATTTACCAAAATGGATTAGTTTTCTTTATTTTATGACACTTGCAAAGTTTTATTTTTTCTTTGTTAAAAGGGAATGTGATAATAATTAATTTGATAAGGTCTTGTTTGGTGTTAAAAATGTGTAATGGGAACACAAACTCCAAGTCAACTTATATTTAGATCAACTACCAATATATTTTTCCTCATAATCTCATTTATTTTCATTAATCCCAAGTTTAAACAAGTAATTAAAATGTGATTTTTTTTCTCAAAACTAATTATAATGTGACTAGAAAAGTGAACAGGTAGACTCATCCTCCCAAGACTAGGTTGACATTATCTAATATTACTTCCTTCATTATAAATTGTATATTGTGTTTCTCTTTTACACGTCCTTTAAGAAAATATTAATTAAAAGGATTTTTTATTTTATTTTACTCTTATATAGTATGCCTTAAGATATATCACTATTCATTAAATATTTTTATTAGTCTGGTGTTTATAATCGTCAAGAACAAATACTACTAAGGATAAAGTGTGGAATTTAAAAATAATCAAATTTGTCTTTGATCTTTTAAAATAAAAATAAAAATTGAGATGATTTTTTTAGACATTACGATAGATAATTTGAGACGAAAGAAATATTAGGTAAGCATTATATTGATAAGAATAAAGATGGTCAATGAAACGTGACAAATTAATTATGACTTATTTAAATATCTTGCCCTACTGAGATAACCATATTCAGAAGACAATTTTCATAAGTACATATGCAAATTGATAAAATCCAACTCTCGTTTTTGGACCACCAATCATTGTTTAGTTAATAGAAAAAACACTTTTAGGGAATTATTTTTATTCGATGTTTGATATTTATTTTGTAATCAGACTAATTCAGATTTGCGCAAAAAAAAGGTTTCATTTTGAAAGTAAAATTATCTCTTTATAATTCGACTAAACTACTTTCTATCGAAAAGTTTAATTCACACTAATAAATTTTATTTCGAAGGATAAAATGCTCTTTATTAAAGGTGAATTCATTTACGAGGTTTACATCCAAGTTTTTTTTCAATTAAAATGAAGGAATGCGTACAATTCCACGATACATTTTAGTTGTACAACATTAATTGCAAGATAAGTATGTTTATCTGCCAAAAACTTTAATTAAAGACCACATTAAACCTTGTGGTGTTCTATTTATCCACGCCATTAAATAATAGTAGTAAAACTTTAATACTAGAGTGGCGTATAGATTTAATTTTTTATTCAATATTTTGAAATATTCAATTTTTAGAAAATAATTCATATTTTATTTTTGAATGATAATTTAAGGAAATTTGTGTTAGGATTAGTCTTTGAGGATCCAAAAAGCATATCTAATCACAATATTATATTACCAAATATTTTAAAAGATTTGAAATATCATATATATATATGGTATGCCAGGTGAAGTATATATATATATATATATATATATATATATATATATATATATGTATGTATATATACTTCACCTGGCGTACCATATATGTATTATGATCTAATTATCTCTGATTTTGCGTATAGGGTTTTTTTTTTCTAGAGGGAGGGGGGGGACATAATGCTAATTATGTTTTCACACACCATGACTTTGGTTACCAGCCATAATTTTTTGAACAATGGATAGTGCATTGGTCTATAATGAGGGCAAAAATTAAAATATATGTGGGTGAGAGTTGTTGGTAAAACAATGTGAAAGATATAAATTTAAGTATATTAGGTCATTGTTCATTAAAATGTGTTCAATATTGTGTACAAATAATTTAAATAGTATCCTATTGTTATTTTAAAATAAAATAAAATGTGAAGACAAGTTAATTATTAGTAGCAGCCTCTGTTTTATATTAATTTTCAATTTAGTTGATGGAAACCTGTTCGGAGAAATGATTCTATCGGAAATAACCTGAAGATAGAGAAAATATTTGTGTATATCATATCCTGTCTAAGACTATATTGAATATAATACTATTATAATGTAAATTATTTTTTTGATTTTTTGCAATCAAAGAAGGACAGATGCTTATCAAATCAATAGACTTTTAAACCAACTAAAACATGTGAAAATTTAATGATTATAATTTATTTCTTGCTTTAAACATGGACAAGTTCAACAAGAATGAAAATGTTAATTAATGGTCATTAGCAATAGCTATTTAGGTGAATAAATGAATATGAAGTAAAGTTGTCTTTCGTTTGACCTATAGTCATTAATGCTTGCACCAGATAAGTTCTCTATATCGCACCTCTTTGGGGTGCAGCCTTTCCACCGAAGGGCCCTGTGAACACGAGATGCTTCATGTACCGAACAATGACTATACTTCTCTATATCTACTTGAAAGAGAAGAGGAACAATAAACAGTGGTTTCATGGCATCTACAAGAATTACAATCCAAGCCAAACCAGACTACTCTTAAACTCATTCATAAATCCAAATTTCAAGAGTATCACTGTAATCTATAGACAATATTACTAGTTCACTATTAACAACTTGCAATTCCATGGCATAACAGCCAAGTTCAAATTCTATTAAACTAAAATGAAGTTGTAGATCATAATTCATAGTGAAAAAAGCCAAAGAAAACAGTGAACATGGTCGCTGGCGAGTTCCCTTGAAGAGAAAATCTGTGCTACAGAGGATGATGCAGACAGACTATGCCAATGTGACAAACTTTACGACCTTAAGCTTGTTGATAACTTGGATTCAGTAGCTTTCAATTCTATACTCCAACAGTTCCTTGCTGTACGTATACGATGCAGCTATCAACGGGCTGGCACAAAATTACCACCGTTCAGTTTCCTCGTTGGCACAGATTTCACAAGAGATTCATAAAGTGCTCGGGATCATTCGTTTACTTCAATGGTTATGTGTGGCTGGGCTACTCTTCAAGCATTTCAAGAAGAATATATTATGTTCCTTATTTCAGATTCCCTTCTCTTGCAAATCCTAGAGCATTGGCAAATATTCTCTTAGCAGCACCAATATGTTCTTCGCGAATACTATCTTTATGAACCTTCACGTCCTTTTTCACTGGTGTCGATGAACCTGTCCCATCAGTGTTTTTAGGTGTACTCTTGTTCATATGCGGTGATCTACTGCCATTTGATTTGTTGCTTTTGGGCTTACCACCTGAACCTGGATATTTTGTAGGGGGAGTTTTAACCTCTGTACAAGTCTGCTTGCCCAAATTTGTCAGTCGTTCTTCCTTATGCTGGATATTTACATCCTTGGATTGTTCTTCACATTGCTCAGTATTTGCATGGTGGATCTCTAGGTTAGCTGGCCTGGTTCTTTGGCCAAGTGCATGTGCAATCATACGACGAGCAACCGTAGGATCTTTTTGAGGTCTATCCTTCATACATTGTCTTGTCTCACCTTGATCAACAGAAAAAATCCGTTTTCGGGCAGCCATATAAGCTTCTTCCCTCTCCTCAAGCGAAAGGTTAATGATTGGTGTTGGTGTGTCTTCTACCTTTGACCCTGAAAAGCAACAACAATGCTTATTTTTGTTGCTTACCAGTTAAGTGTCTGTCACATTCAAAACAATACCTTCTGAACCTTCTTTTCTTCTATATATCACATCTACAGTCCTTGGAGACTGGAGTTCGTCATACTGCCAAAGGAGATCACTAATGAGAATGGAAGGTCTGCAAATTGAGTTCCCAAAAATGTTAGAAGACAATGAACTAACAATGACAAACTTTATCACTTAAGAGTTCAGAACTTCAAGCACGTCATGTCACTTAAGAAGGGGAAAAGGCTAAATGCAAGAAGGTTGTATTTGATTCGTCCATCCTACTGACCAACAAGATGAGATATTATATGGATGCAGTGGTGTGAAAGTTGCTATTCTTGGGCCTTGAGATGGTTTATATTATGTTTCCACAGCTGAAGTCGAGAGGCTATAAGAGTATTGGAGATTTTGCGCATGTAATCAGCGGGTGTGGGTCCTCCGGAGAGGCAGAGACAATCTTGGAATGGGTAGTCCAAATAAGGAAAGTGACTGCATGGGTCCATCGGAAGGTTTCAAGTCTGGGAGATGCATTTTTTACTATTCCAATTTCTACCAATAACGAAGACTAGACGAGTCTTGAAGATGGATTGATGAAGAACCAGAACGAGAGAAGGGAGATATTATCAGGGAAATATCCATCTCAAAAAATAGAAATTGACAGGGAAATAAGGAGATTAATTCGTAAAGTATTAGTATTAATCAATGACAACACAGTAAGGGGTTCTGTTCAGAAAAAGGAATACTGAAATAGCTAAACTCCGGTGAAAATTAAAATTCTACCTCTAATTAAAAGACAAGGACAAAATCAAACTATGGAAGAATCATAAAGAATAGAATCTAATCTAAAATCCCGCTTTAGAGGATATGAAACTACTGTTACTTTTTGCTCCAACAATCCTAACAGAGTTTGTTCTGTGGTTGATATCCTGAAGTGTGAATTTTAGCTACTCATGAAATAAAAACATTCACAGCAAGTGTGAATTGTTCAGCCACAAAACTAGGTATATAAGAAAAGACTTAAAAGAAATGTTTCGAGCTTGCAAGATATAAGCACACACAAATTGCTGCACACCTGCACCTATGATGCGCCAGATAGCACCTGAATGATCCTTAAACAAGGCTACGATTCCAAAAAGTGTATCCAGGAATCAATACAAGTACTACTCCCAAAGATCTCTCTTCCCTTGTTGTCTTTCAACCAAAGAATTAATCCCTCCGTTGTCTTACTTTCCTTTTTGTTAAGTCCCAAAAAGAGTGTTTTTTTCTATTTCAGCTTAGTTGTGCGGACTCCACTTTCGATGCCGCACCCGTGTCGGATTCTCCAAAGATACACACTAGTTATGGAGAATCCGACACGCACCTGTTGACATTTTTGAAGAGTCCGGGCAACATAGATTTTCAACAAGTTTTCCAATTCCAACATTTTACATGGCAAGTTAAAGACCACAGGTTTTAAAGGACTATACACGTCTTTAATTGAAGACCACGAGATTCAAGAGTCTTCCTTTATTTCTTTAACTCGGTGTCAAGTCAAACTAGAGTCCGAGCAACATAGATTTTCAGCATGGCAAGTTTAAGACCACAAGTTTTAAAGGACTATACACATCTTTAATTGAGGACCACGAGATTCAAAAGTCTTCCTTTATTTCTTTAACTCGGTGTCCAGTCAAACCAAGACACTTAAATTGGGACGGAGGGAGTAGCTTAAAATCAGCCCTAGCAACTCTCACAGCATAATGTTGTAGGCAACGATGTTCACCTAAAAGGTCTATTATATCAACATTTGCACAAACAACCAAACATGACACTAGAGATGCTCTGGCAGAATATATATATATATATGTATATGTGTGTGTGTGCTCATGGATTTCAAATTAAGATGTGTTCAGAAAGGTTATAGAACTGCGATATAAACATTCAAATGAGTTTAGGACAGGCAATTTTCTTTTTACATACATTGATGTATCTGAGCAACGCTCCAAGACCAAGTGCCGTTCTTCCCCTTCACCAACTGATTGATGAGAAAACCTGCCAGAATAAGACAGTTTACACTTGTCAATAGCTCAAAGAGCAAAGTACACTATGATATAAAGCAATCAACATACTGAGTGCAATTACCCAAAAATATCAGCAAGACGATGTAAGAGGAGGCGGTTATATGGATTCGTTGGTTCAAGCTCCAAGATTCCATCAGAACTGCATAAAAGTACTAGATTATTATGATTAGTACCCTCAGGAAAACAGCATTCACACATTGTATAATGAGAAAAAGGTATTTCTAGTCAAATCCACAGAATATCATTGTTATCCTCCTCCTTTGAATCAATTGATAAATACAAAATGTTAAAAAACATTGACGATTTAGTTTTACAAGTGATAGATGTCAAGAACAATTGGGATAATTTCACGATAAATGAGGCGCAGCTAGTGTTTGCAGGTATATGATGAAAATGAACTAGTATAAGTTAACTAACAGAGTTTGAACCCACACAGGCTGAAGCTGTGATGGAAAATGGCAACTTATAATATTGTCAAGGCTTGTGGACATCAGATAACGAACTATGACAAGTGTAAGAAAATAACTTGAGGGAGATGGAGGCACAATTGTATGACACAAAGAGGAAAGCAAAAGTAAAAAAGCAAACGAGCAAACTATGACAAATGGTTATTTCTTGCTGCTTGATGATGTCATGAAGTACATGTTCTCTGGAAACAACTAAAAGTTAAATTGTTTGCTATTAACACAGGCAACTATAAGTCTGCATCTTCATAACCTCCGGTCTGATTAACTCTTCACACTAAAATACCTGGTATCCTCGAGAAGGAAATTGACTAGGGTCTCCTCCATAGATAGGATAAGATGCTTGCAAGGAAGATTATCTTTGATAAGAAAGGCCAGTTCCTCTACCTGCATTAATACGATGTAAGGGTCAATAGAAAATCAAGCCAGCCAGAATAACACTTACCATTGGAAGGATAAAGATTGCATAAAGGCATAAGAAAGTACACTGATTGTTTAAGTAAAAGACTGTTAACTATCAAGCAAAATTGATTTACCGCAAATATTCAAATGATCAGAGAGGTAGAGGTAGGCTGAAGAAGTATGGGGAGAGGTGATTAGATAGGGCATGGCATAGTTTCAAATTACCGAGGACATGAGGTTATGGAGGACACGGATTAGGGTAAAAGGTTAGTAGGTAGTTGACGTTGTTTCGTTTTTCCTTGCATACTAGTTAGTCGTAGTATTACACTTGTAGTTTCTTGTCCTTCGATTTTTGCTACTATCTGTTGTTTCTTGTACTTCGATTGTCGTAGTATTTTGTTGTAATTACTGCTCCCTTTTTCAAACTGCTTTGTCATGCTCTCTGTAGTATTTTGTCATGGCTTCTCCACTTGGTCATTTCTTTTTTTGATCTGTCTTGAATTGTTTTTCCTTGAGCCGAGGGTCTACCGGAAACGGTCTCTCTACCTCCCAAGGTAAGGGTAAGGTATGTGTACACTCTACCCTCCCCAAACCCCAATCGTGGGAGTACACTAGGTATGTTGTTGTTGTATCAAATGATCAAGGCAAGGCTATCAACTAAATCACCCGAACATGACTGATTGTATGTGTTAAATCTTTATGATTAGGTCCTAATCAACTAAACAATTTAATTAGCTTTTTCCTGATTTATTGAACTAAACAAGGTCGATAGATATTACGGTTGTTAGATAAAAAAAAGGAATAATATACACATGTGTACGCCAAAATCAGATTATAAGGTTGAGAATGCTCTCCAAGCAATATTTACAGTATTTGGGTTGGCTTTATGATACATTCACTTCATTCGAACCTTTGAATAGGGTAAATATTTTGTAAAATTTTAAAAGGTCTTTAAATCTCACACTTATCATTACCCAAACTTAATGACTACAAATAATCAATTCAATATTAAAATAAAAATACAAAGCAGGTGTGTTCCAGTTAGATTCTTAAATCAAAAGTCAAAAGTTTCAGACTTCAGTAAAATTGGGTTACTTTCGAAACATTTTATCATTTGTTTCTTCTCATACGACAACTTTCCCTGATTTTACTCAAAATTAAACTACCAATCACGGCTTATTGCAACAAAATACAAAGTAAAAACATATTTTTACTAGTGATCATTCCCCGTGAACCAACTTCTTAAATCACAATCTATAGATACCAACAACTTTCTGCCAAAAGTTTCATACTTCAGCAAAATTGAGCTACTCTTGAAACATTTTTTCACTTATTTCTTGTTATACAACAACTTTCTCTGATTTTGCTCAAAACGAAACTACTATTACTGCCTGTTGCAACAAAATACTAAGCAAAAACATAATCTTTACAGGTAAATCAACCACCCACTATGAAGAAAACCCCTATACCAAACATCCATTTCTGTAAAAACTTCCATCGAAGTTCCAAAAATCCAATATCACCTATAATCAACTACAAGTCCGTTCCAAACCAATTGAAAGCAAAAGAAATTCAAGAAGTTCTTTAAATCTCACACTTACACTTGGGAAGCTTGGTACCACTAGTAAGAGGAGTGGCTATAGGACAAGAATCAAGCATCCTTACCCAAACCTAATGATTACAAATAATCACAATATATAGTCCAACAACTTCCTGTTGAAAGTTTTAGACTTAAGCAAAATTGAGCTACTCGTTAAACATTTTTCAGTTATTTCTTCTTATACAACAACTTTCTCCTATTTTACTCAAAATTAACCTACCACTCACTTCCTATTGCTTCAAAATACTAAACAAGAACATATTTTTACAGATCAATCAACCCTCCTGAATCAACAATAAACCCATTTCTGCAAAAACTTTCATCGAAGTTCCAGAAATCCAATATCAACTATGTTCAACTATGATTTAATCCCAAACTAATTGGGTTGGCTTCATGAATCACCCGCTTTATTCAAAAGCTTCAGACTTGAGCAAAATTGAGCTACTCTTGAAACATTTTACCACTTATTTCTTCTCACATAACAACTTTCTCCAATTTTACTCAAAATTAAACTACTAATCACAGCTTATTGCAACAAAATACTAAGCAAAAACATATTTTTACTAGTCAATCATTCCCTGCGAACCAACTTCTTCAATCACAATCTATAGTCCAACAACTTTCTGTCAAAAGTTCCATACTTGAGCAAAATTGAGCTACTCTTGTAACATTTTTTCACTTATTTCTTCTTATACAACATTTTTCTCCTATTTCACTCAAAATAAAATCCCAATTACTGCCTATTGCTACAAAACACTAAGCAAAAACATAATCTTTACAGGTAAATCAACCCCCACCCCATGAACCAACAATAAACCCTATACCAAACACCCTTTTTTGCACAAAACTTCAATCAAAGTTCCAAATATCAACAAAGGGCGGGTCATAAACGGATTTCTCGGTTATCAAAAAAAAATATATATATATCAACTAAGGGTACATTCTAAACTAATTGGGCAAACAATTTATAAATCCAAAGCAAATAAAACTCAAGAATTTCATCAAATCTCACACTTATCATCACCCAAACCTAAAATTTACAAAAAATCACTTCAATATTAAATAGAACATAAATTCCTCACCATAGCGAATTCTGTAAGACTCATTGTGGGTAATGATCAAGAATCGTAAAGGGTGTAAAACCCTGAAATTTTCTTGGATTTTTTTTCAGTTTTTTCCACTTGATTTTGAAGAAAATTTTGCGAAAGAGGAGAGACTAAAGACTTTTGAGGATTTCTAAAAATATGTACTTTGTTTTGTGTTTTTTCTAAATTTGGTACATGAATATAATATTTAAATATATTATATACTTTTTTGTCATTATATAAAGCTCACACATAACAAATGAAGTCTTTGACGTAATTCATAAATTGTTATCATGTGATCGAGAGATTGGTGAAAATAATATGTTGCATAAATGTATAATAAAGACAAAATTTATATACAATACACCCTTACAATTTTCTTAATTTTGTCCATAACAAAAATTTAGTGATCATATATATAATACCACATATCATTAGTAAAAATAAATTTTAATATTATAAAGAACAATATAATTAATCACCATATTATTCGATTACTTATTCTTTGTTATATGTGATTAACATTAGTTGTTGTTTTTTTCGTTTCATATTACTTGACTTTTTTTTATTAAGAATGTATTCTTCTTTTTACTTGTTTATGTTAGCAAATTAACTATATTCAATAATATTTTTATCATTAAATAATCATTTAAAATAGGAGTATTTAAATTTAAAACATAATTAGGAAAAATATATTTCTAATAAATTGAATGCTATAACGCGAAAAGAAATATAATATAATTGAAATGTAATTTAATTTAATAGATCACCAAATATTACATATATATTTAGGATGACCGAATAGCACTATTACATTTCTTACCACTAATATAACATAGCTTTCACATAGCATTATATAATAAATGATATGCGATAATAATAGAAATAATAATATGATCATTCATTTCGTCCACGTTTAATACCTCTTCCGACCAACAAACTCAATGATGTGTCGACAACCTGAAAATCATTATGATCTACATCATTCCTTGTTGTCGAATCAAAATTACAGAAAAGTGATGCAGGCTGAAAAATTTGAGATTGTTGATCAAATTGTTTTTTCCTTTCATCAAGTTGAACTCTTGTAAGAGCAGACAACTTTAACAATCCTCTTATTTCCTTAGCATCAAGCTTAAGTTCAGATACTTTAACATTTCTGTCGTATAATTGTTTGAACATAAATTTTGATTTCTTCTCCTCGCTTCTTCTAACTTTTTCCTCAATAATTAGTTTCCGATCAATCAATTTATCTGTCAGATAAGTTTCATGTTCAACGAACTTTTTACGCCTTTCATCTTCCGAGAAACCTAAGTACCTTGTGAGTATACCCTTAGCCTCAAATTCATTTGGCCACATAATAGGAATGAATTCTCTAGGATTAAGAATAATTATTGAAACAAGTATTCCACATAAAATTGATAATTCTTTTGCTGTTTTGAACAAATCAGCTATGTCTCTTGCTTTCTTTTCATTTCTCAATTCATCTGAATTTTTAGTCATGTTTGACACACAAACAATAAGAAGAAGAATAAATTGTGAAGATAAAAGAGGGACAATGAATAATATTTATAGATGTATAATGAGACTTGGTAATAATGAATAATTTCAAGTAAATCTAATAATTTGACCCAAGTTTGGCAATAAATTTATTATAACATTTTGAATTTTGAAAAAAGTCAATATTTTTTAGGAATAATTGAATATTCAAAATCACAATTAAATTTACATACCATATTTTGAGATTTGTAAAATCTTAATGGTCAATGATATATAAATAAATATTTCTGGTGGGTGACATTTTTTCAGAAAATATGTTAATGATATAATTAGTCTATTGCTTCTTTCCAAACTTTTCTTAAAATTAGGGGTAACAGGCAGATATACCCCTTTGACTTTAAAATTTAAAATGGATATATTTCTTATTAAAAAAGTGATGTATATATAGCATAACTATCTAATAAATAGCGCAGATCTAAGATGATTTGGAGAGACAAAAAGATGGGCTAGATTAATTTTTTAAAACCACATAACATTTCTCGAACTAAAATAATCAGCTTCAATTTTATTTTTTTAATTCGGTAAATATAGATCTATTAACGAAAAGAGCAAATATGAACTATTTGTTAACGATGGGGATATATGTGCACCATTTTTTTAAACAAGAAATATATATGCCCTGAATCACAAAGTTGAGGAATATATTTGCTCCTTTTCCTTTTTTTTAATATTTAGTACTAATCAAAATGAACTTTTATATGGATAAGTAGCATGGTAAGAAGGCCCAATTTATTTATCCATTTTAATAAGAGCAAATAATTCTAATAGACATTTACATTGTCTGATGTACTTTCACTTGTCAAGTTGGTTGTATACATTCATTATACATAGAATATACAACTCTCTTGAGGCCTAAAATTGTAACATATTTTGAGGAACTGTTCCTCAAGAACAAATGTTAAGAAAACAAAAACAGAACTATCATGATATATAATCTCATGATGAACATTCAATCAGATCTTGACTTTCATTTGTTCATATATCGACACCGAGGAGAGATAAGTCCTTCTGCAACAAATCTGCATTCTTGAATTGAAGGCCTTTGAGTCCGAGTTCAATTGCAGCTTCAACGTTCCCCATCCTGGACGATCAATGATACAACTCACGTGAGAAAAATTGGACCTTTTTCGGAATCCAGGTTACTGTAATGAGTAGAGAGATCTGCATTTTTCATGTATAAAATTCTAAAGATGAATAGAAGTTGACAAATAACAAGGACGTGGGGATGCATCCAAGACGCGGACTCTGTCTATATAGTGGTGATATGAAAATCATATCGAGGCCAAACTCAACTTTGTGGTCAAAGGATAACTACTGTACATTGTTAGGGATGACTCATTATCATTTATCTGACAAGCGTACAGCGTATTACAACAGTTCTGAAGAGCTCGAGCAACATAGCTTAAAAGCATACACTATTATTGGGACATACCTGTCATCAACAAAAATGCAGTTGGAAGCTTTTACATTGAGATGCTTTACAACTTCTAAATAAAACTCGGGATCAGGCTTCCGTTTTCCTGTAAACATATGAAAAAAGTCAGGTCTATGCTCCAATTGAATTCATTTACGTGTCACAACTCCACAAGTTTAAGGTTACGGAACTTTTCAACAAGGAACAAAAGCAGATCAGCATCCGAAATTTCACAAATTTGAGATGCAATACAACAGAAAGATCAGCATTTGAGTTCTGACTCTTACGAACCAAGTTTTAAAACAGCAATTTGACTGTAACAATTGAACTTATTAAACTTGTAGGGCACATTCAGATAGATACTCGACCCGTGAAGCATACAAATATGATCTATAGAGACAAATATTCAACTAAAGCATTGTAAACACTGAAATGGACATGTCACTCCATCGATTCTCACTAAGAATCATCACAAAAAAGAAATATGGAATTGATTTTCAAAGGTAGAAAAAACTTTAAATGTCCAAACTCTAAAGCAAACCTTACCCACGTGCGGTAGAGAGATTGTTAAAGAACCACTTAATATGTATAAATAATCTACCAGAACCGAGCAAGCAAAAAAGATTGTGATCCAGAACCCATAAACGAAATCCCCGATCTGCCTCTGGTTGCTTGTGTAAGCATCCCAAAACTCTACATGTGCAGGAATACATAAGGAGCTAGCCACATCTCAGTTACCACTATCAAAAAAAGAAGAAGGAGCTAGCCACATCAACAATGAAATATTAAAGGGCAGCCCGGTGCACAAAGCATCCAGTGTTAGAAGGGCTAGGGAAAGGACTGCACCCCAACGGGTGTGAAGAAGACACTCAACCCTAATGCAACCATTAATGGCTGCTTTCACGGTTTGATTAATGAAATATTGATCAAACATAAGCTGAGAGATAGAAAGTTTGTGAAGGTAAAGAAACTACCAAATATACAAGAACAAAATGTCCAAGATAGGTAATTTGAGAGTTTTAGCTCGTCCTCAATCATCTGGTACCTGAAAGAACAAAGTTTGAAACACTTGAATGTCTGTATTTTGAAAGTAATGAAGGTTTGATTGATTATTTTTATTTTGTATAATATTGGCCTAAGACGATTTTATATGGAGTATCATGGTAAGTAAGGATTTATATAACCGACTACATCTTTGTTTGGGACTAAGGCGTAGTTGTTGTCATACCAGATTGGATAATTTGTGAAAGCATGGATCTCATAGCCATTTTCTTTCAAAGAATTCAATAATCCTTCAACACCTTCAAGGTAGGAATATCCTCTTCTCATACAGTTTTTGAGACCTGACAAAAAGTGGTGTTTCAGTTAACAATGAACAAACAAAAGATGCTAATAGATCGAAAAAGTAACAATATAATCAACCTTCGCTAACATTGATCAAACTAACGCAGAAGATGAAGGAACAATTAGGAAATGATGGTAGCATCTTCACGGGAAAGAAGTCGAGAATATTCTTTATACATCAGTTCTTAGCAATAAGGCCCATTCTGCACTTCCTCGTCAACTTTACACATCCAGACAAGAATAAATGGTTGAGGCATGGCCAACATCTTATACCATTTAACATTTTGATTCAACTTTTGCATCTCCTCTTCATAATAAGAAAATATTGAGAGAGTACAACGGACAGATTTACTGAAGCATGAGCTCAAATGAAATTATGAAAATATGAACACATCGTGTCAAAACTAATACTTCATGAATATGTCATGAAGTTGTCGGACACCGTGTGATAAGGTGCTGACATCAGAGAATGTCTAACATACCTTCCATATCAAAAGATCTTCCATCCTTGAAGAATTTCCTAGTCAACTCCTCCTGAAAAGAGTAGTACAACATACTTTTATAAATTAAGAAAAGAGAACAATCATAGTCTACATCTTTCGAGATAAAAGAGAAACAAAATATATAGTAATATGCCTCCATTAAAATGTCTAGCTACTTGGAGCAGTTACAAGTAGAACACACTTCTCAACATACCTCACTAATAAGGCCTTTCTCAAACTCAATCCAGGAAGTTGGATGCTTGCTTTCCAGCAATTCTTTCATTGACATTCTGAATAAAAAATCTCAATTTGAAACAGGACAAAAATTTAGAAGCTAAAAGAGAAAAGAACAAAATTTGGTCTGGTTTGAATTAAAAATAATGGAAAGAAACGAGACAAAAGGAGCCCAAAGCAGCACTGGACCGTTACTAGAAGAGATTGCATCAATCTGAGATGGAATGAATTCGGTATTCATAAATAACCGGTATTTGCCTGTTGCAAGAGAAGGGGTTCCGAAGTACTGTTGAACCAGTTTGGGTTTATGACTAGTAGTTGCGTGACAAGTAAGATATGTAATTCGACTATCTGAGTTAAGTTACATATGCCAGCTGAAGTAGGGGGCTTCTACCTTGATTGTTTAGGAATTACACATTTTAAGAATTATACAACATGGTGTTAACTATAATGCTGAGCAACATTATAAGTTGATTGAACTAACAATAAACTATTTCAGTTTATACACATATATGAAATGCTCACTTGGCTTTCAAACATGCAAGAACGTGGGACCATATACGCTGTGGTTAAAATCTTAAAACAGGGAAGTCCACAACAATCAAAGGCAAAAATATTACTACATATATCAATGTGAAGATAATTTTCCAATTACAAGGAAGATTAAGAGGAATGTTATGACATGCAGAAGATCGAGATATCTTTACTCTACAATTAAGATTATGGACTTAAATCATCAGGTGAATGAATTTGTGCAAGAAAAAGTACATCTTAATTTTCTTTCCTAGCAGTTACATCTTCTTCTTCTTTCTTTTTTTTTAGCTTTTCCACTTTTCCTCAAATTGGAAAAGTGTCCCAAATAACCAATCTTGTATACTCACTTATAAACTCCACATGAGTTGAGCTTAAATGGAATAGTAAAGATTCATAGCCGACTTCAACTTGTTTGGGACTAAGGCATAGTTGTTGTTTTTTCTCTTTTTGTTCTTTTGGGTCTCCAATGGAGGGGTCAAAAGTCAAAACTCATATATCCCACCCCATTAAGAAGTAGTTGATTAATATTGATTTACTGACTGAGAAATTCAAGAATTCCAGCATAAAAAAGTTACCTCTAAACCCAACAGAAACATCAGAAAACAGTAAGGAGCTAGGTGGAGTTCAACATACTAAATACCCATTGAGTTATTACAACAAACAACAACATACCCTAATGTCCCACAAAATGGGGTTCGGAGAGATAAAGTGTACGAAAACCTTACCCCTACCTCAGAGGTAATGAGACTATTTGCGATACACCTTCAGCTACCCATTGAGTTATTGACTCATCAAATTCAACAATCCAGCATAACAAGATAACATAAAAATGGGATCTTTAAACTCAACAGACTGAAACTCAACATAGTAAATACCCACTGAGCTATTGACTCATCAAATTCAAGAACTCCAGCATAACAAGACAACATAAAAATGGGATCTTTAAGGTCAACAGTAAAAGGGGCAAACTGAAATTCAACATAGTAAATACACCATTGAGCTATTGCCACAGCAAATTCAAGAATTCCAGCATAACAAGACAACATAAAAATTGGATCTTTAAAGTCAACAGTAAAAAGGGGCAAACTGAAATTCAACATAGTAAACACCTGAAGAAGGCAGGGACATCATGGTAAAAAGGGTCACGAACAATAGTATCCATAACATCAAAAAGCAAAATTGGAAGTTTCCTCTGAGCCACCATTGTTGATGCTGATGAAGAAGTGACACTGCAACTAATATTATTAGTACTAAAAGACCCCATTTTTGCAGATTTAGAATAACATGTTTTCTTCACTATAAATGGAAAACTGATATTAGAAGCAGAAGATGGTCTCCATGATATCAATAAAGCCATATAGAATTTGGATTCTTTCTTTGTTTCTGCTAAGATTTGTAATGTGTTTTTCTTCTTCTTTTTTTTGGGCCAACAAAAAGGATTTTTTATATTTTAAATTATAATTATTATGAATAATATTTTTTTTATTAATGGATGAATCTAAATTTAATTGAATTCTATTATGAATATGTTTTAAAAAAAAATACGACCGACCAGGGACATTCTGTGATCTTTTTTTCCGTGCATTCTCGGCCAAAAAGCTAGTACCTTTTTTTCTTCTTCTTCTGTTCACCAAAATTATGAACAATAATCCACTTGTCTTTTTCTCCATTGAAGAAAAAAAATTAAATTACTCGTATAATTCCCTATTCTTGTTACAATTTCTTTCAAGAGTAATATAAAAAAATTGAAAAAAAATCCTTCCTTTTTCTCTTCCTTCTCAAATTTCAACAAAAAAAAACATCTGTACGTATAACAAGAATGTATATACGTACAGAAAATGCAATTTGAGAGGTGGGTTTGTGTTTATATAGCATAATTTGAAGGAAATTTGGAAGAAAATGGGTGATTTAAGAAATGGGTGTTTGATATTGTTGTTGATTTTGATGGGTTTTGGTGTAGATGTGAAAGGGGAATATTTGGTTTTTAATGTGAAGCATAAATATGGTGGGAGGAATGGTAATGGGTCGATTTTGAATGATCTTAAAGCTCATGATAATCGACGGCATAGCAGAATGCTTACTGTTATTGATTTCAAATTGGGTGGAAATGGCTTGCCTACTGATGCTGCGTTAGTTCCCTTTCTCTGTTTATTTTCATGTTTTTTTGGGTTCGAGTTGTGGATACAGGTTCAATAGACCCTTGTGGTCGGGCTCTTCCTCGTAGTATGTGTATAGCGGGAGCTTAGTGTACCGCGCTGTCAATGTCATCTGATATTTAGGCCAGCTGGGAGCTAGGATTTTTAGTTTATGGGTTATGGATTGATATATAGATTATTTGTGTATGTTAAATGAATTTTTAAGACGAATACAAGATTTTGAGCCTAAATTACTTGGTTTTCTGCTAAACCTGTAAGCATAATGCTAGCTCCCTCCTTGTGTTGTCAAGGCGCATTTAGCCCTGAAGGATGCTAAAGATGTTTTGAGTGCTTCGCTTAGCTTAATGTGTGCTTTAGTGTTGTCGTCAAGGTTCTATGGCATATTTTTTCTTGAGAGGTGGGGCATTAAACTATTGATATTTCAGTTTCTCGTAAAAAAAAATTCAATTTTTATGTTCATATATTTGGCATTCATGCTTTAGAATTATTAGTCTTGGACTAGACATATGTATTTATATTTTTTTCTCCCTTTGCGCCTTTTTTTCATTAAATATCATGTTTTATTTGTGCTTTATCTTTCGAGAACACTATTACCGCCCTTATTTGCTACCTCCCACTAGCAAAGGTATCTGGTAACTTTGTCGATTGAGGCTTGGACAGATGGGAAGAAATGACTAGTGTTTTCCTTCTGCCTACGTTGGGATTTTAACTTGAGACTATTCAACATATTATCATGTCTGCACTTTGTCTCTGTAGGCAAAGTTATTGCCTTTGCATGGTTTTTTTCATAATTAGTGTTCTCTCTCCCTCCTAATTTACCATGTCTGCAAGTTTTGACAGTATATGGGAAGTCATTTCCTTTTAAACCCAACTACATTTACTCAAGTGAAGAGAACATTCGAATAGATTAGCTACGCGAAAACATTTTCTTGCTTGGGATTGAGGCATAGATATTGTTGTTGTGTGGAAAGTTATTTCCTGATAATTCTTACTACCTCTCGGTGTTTGTTCTAATATATATATAACACTCTTTCAATTTGATCCATGTTTAATATTTCATATAGTACAAATTTCAAATTCTGGTTTGATGTTTTCTCTATCAAATTATCTTATTTGCATTATCTAAAGGATTGAGACAGTTTAAAGTTTGATTGTTGATAATTTGAATGATGATATTGGTTGGTTCTTGTATTTATTCTTCTAAAAGAGGAGGACAAGGTGTAGATGTTTTAAGAAAGCATGCAGCTTTGTTTCTCAACGTTATGACTAATTGATATCATGGCTTCTTTGCTTAGCTTAGTACTTGTTTTTTTTAACCACATTAACTTTTAAAGTTCGTTGTTTAAAATGTACCCCCCCCCCCTCACAACTTCACCACCAAAGAATAAATAAATAGAAGTGCGCTCCCATGATGTGACCTAGTGATCAATGAAGTAAGTTGAGAACCATGAGGTTTTAGGTTCAAATCCCAGCAAAGACAAAAACACTAGGTGATTTCTTCCCATATGTCTTAACCTTGGTAGACAGGGTACCTGCTGCTGGTGGGAGGTGGCAGGTATTGGTTATCAAAAAAATAGTGTTGCTTACATGCAGGGCATAACTTCAGATTGTGGCGATGGAGATATTATGAATGCTCATACTATCATGTGCCATTATGGTTATGCATTTTCCTCGTATGTAAATGATGCAGGCTCTATTACACTAAGATATCTATTGGAACGCCTTCAAGGGATTTTCATGTCCAGGTTGATACTGGAAGTGACATTTTATGGGTGAACTGTGCCAGCTGTGAGGGATGTCCTACAAAAAGCGACCTCGGGGTATGATTCTTCTTCCAATATATGTGTCACTTGCCTTTCTTTGTGCATAAAATGGATGTTGGTTCTATTATTTGTAGACAGTCACTTCATATTCTCGACCTCATTTCTCAATTATATTCTCATCATTGTCGTTACCTTACAGATAGACTTGATGACATATGACCCGAAAGCCTCTGCAAATGGGAAATCTGTTTCTTGTGACGAAGAGTTTTGCATGCTCAATACTCCCTACTCAGATTGCAGGACTGGAATGCCATGTGATTTTCAGGTTAGTTATGGAGATGGTAGCTCAACAGCCGGATTCTTTGTGAAGGATGATATTCAGTTTGAGCAAGTGTCAGGAGACCTACAAACAACGTCGATGAACGGGTCGATAGCATTTGGGTAAGTTTCTAATCCTTGTGATTAAAATATAAAACTAAAATTTGCCTATTATTGTTGAGGGTCTATCGGGAACAATCTCTACGAGGTATGGGTAAGGTTTGCATACACTCGGCATGTAATTTATCTCTTGATGACATGTAGTAGTTTACATCATTTTTATCCAACATAGGTGCTCATCTAGACAGTCTGGAGAGCTAGGTGCTTCTAATCAAGCAGTTGATGGAATACTTGGTTTTGGACAAGCAAGTTCATCCGTAATTTCGCAGCTAGCTGCCACTGGGAAGGTTAAGAAAATATTTGCACATTGCCTAGATGGAAAGAATGGAGGTGGCATATTCACCATTGGACCAGTAGTTCATCCAAAAGTAAATACAACACCACTAGTCTCAGATGCGTAAGTATTTTTAGTTTTAACCCTTCTTTCCTTCTTAAAAGAATTGATGGTAAATGCTTTATTAAACGAAAAGATGGTAAATATACAATGCTCAAACATTGTATGCAAAATGTTATGGTAAAATCTGTTTGCATCGATATTTGCATCTCTCTGCCTCCAAATGAAATTGTATGTCTTAATTCAACTTCTACATTTATTAAGAATAGATCTGAAAATTGATATGCTTAATAATTTTTGTAGAACATGTAGGGTCATATATTAATTTGATAGAATGAAATAAAGAAAAACATATAGAGTTATTACAAGTGAAGTGGCTTCCATGTAATTTTTCTTTTTAGGAAGCAAAACTGAGACGGACTAATAAGAAAAGATAGACATTTTACTAGGGATGAATAAAGTACAGTAGTTAGCTACGACCAAATCGAAAGCTTTAGCGAAACTCCTCTTTCGGATCTATCATCACCAAAGCCGAAACGGCCATGAACATCATCATAGCCTATCGAAGTGGTCCATATGTGGTATAAGTACGCTTGCTTTAGTCCTGCGTGACGTTTGTACATTTGTATATTCTCTTATCCTTTGCACATCTGGTTGTTCAATTCTCATTCTATTTATGTGCTTGATCTAGCAATGAATTTAAGAAGTTTTTGTGCACTCAAGTAATGTATTCCCCTCTCCCTCTTTTTGCGGCAAACGAGGGAAAAGAAGGGTGATATATGATTCCACTGTAACTACAGCCTGATGGAGACAATGTTAGAGCTGACACTGCACCTTGGTAGTGAAAAATCAAGTTAGAGCCCTTAAGACACTCACTATATTGAAACGGAGAGATAAATCTTGACTTTTAGATTTATAAAGTAGTTCCAATGCAGATTGTCAAGTCCTATCACTGGATACATTACTACTCGATTTGCAATAAATCTACCATGTAGATGTAAGGAGTTTAAAACTCTCTCGACTCACTCGCTGCTGGTGCATATATTTGCTTAGTCAGTTTCAAGTTTGAATTATAGAAATTGTGACTTCTGTTGTATTTTGGTTATTTATTTTCGTGCTTTGATTACATGATTTTAACCTCTCCATTTGTCCACTATTCTGAACTCTGTTAAAATATCTGTCTGCTCTTTAGGCCACATTATAATGTTATTATGAAAGGAATTGAGGTTGGTGGTCAAGTTCTAGACATTCCCACAACTATGGCAATAATTGACAGTGGAACAACCTTAGCTTATCTTCCACACAAGGTCTACAGTACTCTCATCAACAAGGTAACTACAGACATTTCAGAAATAATGTAATTGGCTTATTTTGTTAGAGAGCTTTACACCACATGTATGCATGGATATATTTTTAACCTTTCTGCTTGATTTTTTCCGTTTCACTGTTGGCATAGCTGATTGAACGGCACCCACAGTTGAATATTCGTCTTGTTGAGCAGAGTTTCCACTGCTTTGACTACACTGGGAAGTAAGATTCTTTCTGGCCTCTCGTGAGTTTCATATTTCTTTCTGTCAAAGGTTTAGTATGTCAGATCTTCTCATTTTCGCTATGAGTATATACACTGATACAGTAAGGAAGACTATACGCTAAAACTGTGTATACTACTAATGTTTGTTAACTTATTTTCTATTTTGGTCACTCCAAATATATTTGGTAATTTATACTTTTTGGAGAGAGCTCTCCATATCTTATTATTCTTCTTGGGATGGAAGGAGTATTTTATTTTTGGAGTGAATGGGAGGGAATAAGGGAAGAGTATGGGTGGATTTATTGGATTTGGTATATTTATACGGAGATTGGTAATAAGGAAAGAATACTGCTGAGAAATGAATGTTCTCTTAGTGTAGTTCTATAAGAGACTAATAGGATGAGTCAGATAAATTGCCTATAATAACTTATAAACTCAATTGTCTTTTAACTTTCCTCTACCTCCGCTGGTGCAGGATTGATGATGGGTTCCCAGTTGTAACCTTTCGGTTTGCAGATTCGCTTCCTTTGACAGTTTATCCCCACGATTATCTTTTCCAAATCGAAGTAAGTACTCCAAATATGCTTAAGTTCTTTAGCTCTTTTCTAATTCAATCAGATGAAGTTTTTTATTTTTCCCAAGAAGACTTTCTTTTTCAATATTAAAAAAAATTATTTGGATTTCTTTCTTGTTACAATAGCAGTTCTTAGGTTCTCGAGCCATTATCAACCTAACAATCATTATTATAGGCCTTTAGATTTATCTCCTAGAATCTCTTGTCAGCATTATGATAGCCTTTTATGTTACCATGTTAGATTCAAGCCTGATACTTTCTTGAAATTTGTCTTTGACATGTCTAGCTAGTATGAACGTGTATGTTATTCTACCTTTTTGTTGGTTTATACGGCTGCATGTATATTTATGTTGCTCCATACCAGAGGATAGGGCCAAAAAGTTTTGTGAAGTGTGTTGTTAGGGTGCAGAAAAAGCGAAATGCAACAGGATGGACTATATAACTTGCAATCCCGTTTCCTCACGGAAATCTCATCTCAGTTTCTGGATTAAATTTTGCAGGAGAGTAGATGGTGCATTGGTTGGCAAGACAGCAAAATGCAGACAAAGGATGGATCGGAAATAACTCTGTTGGGAGGTATTATTTGACACCTTCTCTTTCTCTTAAGAGAAACTCGTCAGAGAAATGCATCTAAACTGAAGTAAATCCTTATAATTTTCATTGAAGCATGTTCGTGAAAATTAAGCTTGTCTTGTCCGTGCTTGAGACATATTTCATATCAATCTTACCTCTGCAAGCATGAACTGGATAAGACATTTGAGGAATATGAATGAATGTAGGATAATATATATCTGGTTGCTGGTCAAGCTTGTAATGCTTAGAGATTAGTGATAATTTTATTTTTTTTTATTTTTTTTGATAACCATGGTGTCCGGGCCAGCTAGTGCCTCGACTAAATTCATGGGATACCGGCCACGTCCCACCAGCAACAAGTACCGTGTACTTCTGTCCACCAAGACTAGGATAGATTGGAAGAAATCACCTACAACATATTTTGTTGCAACATTTTGATATTTTGTAACATAATTCTGTCCAACAAGTAACATTTTGCTATTTTGTTGCAGATCTCGCGTTATCAAACAAACTAGTTGTTTATGATATTGAAAATCAGGCAATTGGTTGGACTGAATATGACTGTGAGTATATATAGTTAATCAACTACGTTCTTCTATAGTCTACAGCATAGAAAGCTATCTAGAAATTGATCTCATTAAATAATTATTCGCTTTCAAATATTACCATCTATGCATTTGATGGTTAATCTTATACTTGTCTTGAAAATGTTAATTGGCCTTATGTTGCAGATGAACGTAGTGAGGTCTAGGGATGGTAAGACGTACGTAGACATTACCCTACTTTTGTAGGGTAGAGAAGTTGCTTCAGTTAGACCCTTGACTCAAAAGAGAAGTTATCCGGAGTAGGGTTACAAGACGAAAAAAATGACAGCAAAATATCAAGTACAAACTACAAATAAATGAAGCAACAGATGGTAAAACACATTGAAGAATAAGAAACTACGCGATTACTAGATACTACTACTTATTAGGAGAGGAATAATGCTTATTATTTTCCGAATTTAGGAACTCTAGAAGGAAGAACTATGCCTTTGAATATCTTTATAAATCAACTATAAAAATGCCTTCTTTTCTTTCTACTTTCCCAGCTAACACAAATCTGGAGAATTCGAAATGTTAATGCTATATTCAATCCATTGTTTCTAAGTTTCTCCTAAAGTATGTGTGTTGTTAATTTCAGGTTCTTCAACCATCAAACTCAAGTATGAGGAAAGTTCTGGTAGCGCATATACCGTGGCTTCTCACAATATTTCTTCAGCTCCTATGATGGATTCGACAAAGTTCTTCACGTTCTTCTTGATAATCATCTCCATCTTGTTCAATTTGTTGAAGTGACAACAGAAACAGCTGTACAGTGAGTAATTTTTGCACCATCAACATTCAGCAAATTGAAGGGATTTTCAGTCTTTTCGACCTTGGTTTCGTTGGAGCAAGTAAGAAAGATTGAGAAACAGAACCATATGCTTAATTTGTTCTCAATTGCCACGAGTTGATCATCTGAAGGTGATCCTGTTGTCAACAGATTCTTCTATTACACTCGTAGTTTCTAAAGGATGAGAACCAACTATGTTAGCATCTATATCGAGGATTCATGTCCTATATACATCCTGTAACAACGAACTTGCAAAATTGACTTGTTTATCATAACGAGATTCATCGTTCCTGACCATTTCAGCATCCTTCTCTGGCATATTATCATTAGCAGTTTCTCTTCTGTGCTTTTAATATGTAAAAATCATTCATATAGAAGCTGGTCAAGTATTTATCTTCAATTTCTGTTGCAATGTCCCATAGATGACTGACTATAGATGGTAAATATATTCGATAAATTTCTTAACGAGCAAAAGTTATTAAGTTAGACTGAATCCGTATCTGAGCTTCAAGCTCTGCTCCTGAACAAGATCATGATATTTTTCTCTAAAATCAACCTCTCTCATTTCATGATATTCCTTTTTACAAGGTAATATCATGATTTTATAAAACCAAAAATAAAGTTTGCTCGTAATGAAATTCGAATATTTTATCAACACAATTGAAAATAAAGAAGAGTAAGAACTTTATAAACATATACTCATGCAAAATTTCTTACAAGAAAAAAGAAAAGAACAAAAAAATAAATAGCTAGTACTGTTACATAAACTATAGAGAAAGAATTATTACAGTAAAAAAAACTGATCATAAGAACTAAACAAAATGGAAATTAAGACAGAGAAATGAATCCATATTTGGACATGGTAAAAACTTACTAACACCTAGACGCGGCTGACCATGGTTAATAACGAGGTGAAAATATATGTTAACCATAGTTAAAGTGAGGAAAGTCGATGTGCAAACACATGTCATGCATCCATTGGTTTGGTGTAAGCGCCTGGTGCAAGGCAAGTTCTTACTATTTCTTCTTGTATTTTGATCCTCCAACAGCTACCCCGTCAAGAGCAGACCATTCTTTTTCCGTCTTAGGTAGCAACTCATCCTGTTCCGAGGCTTCCTCGTTGCTGACTGCTGAAACCTCTTCACCTTCTCGAACAGTACAGGAACGATTCAATGCAGGTGGACTAAGGGCACCACCCGTATTGTTGCTAACTTCACTCATTTCCATTGAGACGAAAGTCTTGTCGTTGTCTTCTGTACTAGAAGCAGTAGAGAAGTTATTCGAGTTTGAATCAAGGAAGAGGCAGACAACTGCACAGTCATCGACTTTAGAAGTTGGGTATGTGATCTTCCAGGCTCGAACGGCTTCTTCAACAAGTGATCGAGCTGCAGATGAACGGGATGAAGCCGAATCGACAATATTTACTACTTCATCGTTTGAAAGTACGTCCCAAATCTGTAACCGGTATCAAATTAATTCAACTAGCAACGAGATAGATAGTGAATCTAAGTAATGCTAAAGCAGGATTCAAGTGCCATACCCCATCTGTCGCCAGAACAATGAATTCATCTTTCTCGGATAAACGCCTGTAAGAAATTTCAGGTACTGAGATGACACCAAAATCCTTGAGGCAAAAATCGCCAAAAGCACGAGCCATGGCAAGTCCAGGAGAGTTGCTATTTGGCATCCACACTCTTGCAACATCTGGTTCATCTTGAAGAGAAAACACTCGCCCTTTACATTTGCGAATCCTCTCAAACTCCGCTGTAAATTTAGAAAGCAGAGTTATAGTGAGGCAAGCATCAGTAGAAATCAGTAAACATCACCTATAAAAAAGGAAAATTTCTGCTTCCAAGAATACTGTTGTGTGGACGATAGTTCTAAGTAACTGTACCACATTCCTTTTGTTTTATATGCTTACATTCTGATAACACAATTACGTAACATAACTGTGATTGAAGTACATAACTAATCATACACAAAAAGGAGGTATAACTGCCTATTCACTTCTTACGTCAAAATAGAATTCAAAAAACTTTTTGAACTGGGAGAGGTAGAGAAAATTGATAAAGATTTCAGCAGAAGCTTAACTTAAAAAAATGGAGATCGGTTTAGGTTTGTCTAAACATTTCTTCAAGAGATTCATATGATGGAGGTTGAGTATGTGAATGAGACCGTGCAGAAAGAATTTCAATAGTTATCCATCATGAATTAGTATTTTCTTTGTCACATATTTTCACATTTGTATAAGGGGATGAACTTAGACCTAGAATCACATGGAGCCATGCAGGTAAATTGTCCTAGATGACCTATAATATAATCCCTCGAATCTATGCATACTTGGCTAGAAACATACAACATATATGCGACCTCAACTAGTCTAAGACTAGAGTTGATTGATTGGTTTCATACATGAATTGATAATTCGATCCTCACTACAACAACTTTACTCTATAAGACACACGCCTAAAACAGACGCATAAGGGCCAAAACGGCCTGGCACAGCACAACGGGGGAAAGAAGATATAACACGTAGGGACATTTTTTTCTTGGGGAGGGGATGCATGAATGTGTAAGATTGCAACATGGTATATCGTCAAATCTGATGCCTATTTGCAACAGTTTAGCTCAGAACAGCTGACATTGCAGATAGATAAGTTCATTAAATGAACAGAAGCTAAGTGGTAATTTAGTTGATGACACAATATCAAAAAAAGAAGTGACCATATGCAGGCAGCAAAACATAGACATGTATGCACCTGGTAAATCGGGCTTAAGATCTACTGTCAATTGCACTGCAGTGAGAGAATCATCCTCGCCTCTCGTACCCAGCACAGCTCTAGAGTCTCCAACATTACCAATAACAAGATTCTCACCCTACCAAAAATCAAATAACAGAGTTCATCTTCAGAATAAAATGGCAGAAAATCTAGCCAACTTCAACTTTATGAATATATCAACAAACCTGTTTAACTAGCGTTACTGATGTTGTTCCACTACAGAAGCAGTCGATATTGGTATAGCTTCTCAGTTCTCTATCCATAACCTTATACGCCTTCAGAAATGACTCCTTCAATGTCTGAAATACTTCCAAGTGTTTTTTGGTCTCTTCAACATCAATTGAGAGCCTCGACTCCTCAGCAGAGATGAGGACAGCATCCTCAGGATATAGGCTACTCCCCGTGTTGAGACTGATCTCTCTTAGAACGTCTTCACTTTTTATATTAACTTCCCAGTGTGTGCTTAGCTTTAAGGGAAGTGCATCTCTGACTCGTTTTGCAACCATATGACCAAAAGGACCATGACCATCAAAAACACCACAGAAAACAGTATCTTCTCTGGAACCGAAATTCTGGAATTTAATATTTTTAGCAGATTAGGAACACAGTTACATAAGGTTTAATGAGACTGAGACAGTATCACGAGAAAGTAATTCAACTATATATATGGCCAATAACAACTACATATCACAAGAGGAAAAAAATTAAAAAGCTTATCAGTACAAAATGATGTCAATTTAAAGGTACATTTTCGTCCTCTGTAACTCTACCAAGCTTATAGATAAGTAAACAGAGAGCACATTGTAGGGCCTTTGAACAAGTTATCAAGAAAAAAGAGTTGTAAACATCATAATTACTCACAAAACTTAATAAGAAAGTATTACTCAAAAAATCAGGTGATGTGACAAGATTCAAGAAATGTATAGGCTGAAGCACAAAAAAACAATCATTAGGCACCAAAACTTGGATCTAAAAGATAACTACCACACAACATTTTAACTCCTTGAGCTTTTACCACTGCAGCCATGATCATATGCATTCTAGTGATCATGAATATTGCAAGTCAATTACTAATCACCACCATTTCACAAAGACAACATGAAAAGATTCGAGGACTAACCTCCCACACAATCATAGCATCTTGATTAGTCCCTTTCTTTCCCTGCTGACTGAAGAGTGAAGCCACCTCACTAGAACCATTCAAGAACATACGCCCGGGAATCCTATGCAGCAGCTCTTCCTTATGAATGTCAAAGGAAGAATTCCGCGATCCTGACCTCTTCTTTGAGTTCTTCCTCTTCCTAATTGTAGATGCAGGAGAACCAGGATGAGGACTCCTGCTATCAGATGACAAGCAGGACCCCATCCCGAGGCCCCGGACTAAATTCTGTAAGCACTCCAGAACAACTAAACAAACAAACACCCTATTCCCCTATTCGAATCCGTATTAATATCCTCCTTCGAGTCTTCAAAATCTATTAACGAATCCTCCACCTCAATCCAACAACTTCACCATCATCACACAATCAAAAAGGGGGGAAATTAACAGACTGCTAATGGAAATCCAATTCACTTCTACTGCAAAAGCAGTCCGTATCGAATCTAATCCACCAAAAAGTTATGAACTTTTCAGCAACCCTTGAACAATCATGCATACATAATTAGCTCTTGAAACAATCCTCTACATCACAACTTACAAGAATAGAAATAATATAACTGCAACTAACATATAGAGCAGATCTATCAAAACTATTGCCCCCTTTCAATTTTTTTAATAGTAATATCCCCAAAAGACACCTTTTTTATTCTGTCTCTCTCTCTCTCTCTCTCTTCCACTATTGATCACCTTTCACTTACAAGAAAGGTTAACTCAGTTGATAAAGACACAATCTGTTGATCTGACGTAGCTTTAAGGCCAAAAAAAACACCCATCAGAGTTTGCACAACAAGAAGGTCAAATCAGTGACCAGACACAAGAATTTGTCAAAAATTTCAAAAACCCACTTCAAATTCAGCTCAATTCAAACACCTGGACCAAAATCAGTTCCCATAAATTACAAAAAACCACCAAAAATTCAACTCCAATCTACATGAAAAAACTTGATTTTTTTGGTCAGATCAAATAAAAACCCACCAACAATTCACCTCAAAACAACCAAAAAAAACTTTCTTTTCCTGATCAGATCAAACCCAAATCAGGGGGAAAAAAACCATCTCTGTAAAACTCTGTAGAAATGAGCTGAAGTAGAATTTCCAGTACAGTTTTGTACTGTGTTAGATAAAATAAATGGATGAAATTATTTGATATGGATAAGAGAAAAAAGGGGAAATTGAATGGATTAGTTGAATTTAGAGGAGGAGAAGAAAAATAGGAATCGAATCGAATAACAGAGTGACACACAACAGAGAGAAGAAAAAAAATACTGCAAAAATGGCGCCGATAAGACTCTGTTTTTCGGTTACTGACTTACTGTGTAATGCTATATGATAAAATATTTTAATAATGTTTTCGTCTTAAAATTTGAAGAAAAAATATTATTTGTATTTTTAAATGTTCATTGCATAGTTATTACATAAAATTTATTATCTCCTTTAATTATGTATTCATTGAGGTTAGTTGAACCATACTTGAAATTTTATGACTTATTAATGTTAACGCGTATAATTAATGAAGATGATACTCATATTTTAAGTGATTAACTTATCTACATATGGACGTTTGAAAATATGTGCATAAACTTCACCAAAATTGTAGAAAAAAATATCTAAAACAAATAATTTAATTATCATGTATTTAAGTGCTTAATTAATTAAAACAGATCATACTTTAGTACTTTTAAAAAAAATATTACTAATAAACTCAAAAGACTATCGAAGTTTTCGACCTACTTTTATTGAAAGAAATATTCATCTCAAGCATAACTCTTATTTAAGTGTTAACATTACTAATTAGAGGTGTTATTTTTTTATCTCTTAAAAAATAAATATTAGGGAGAAACACAACTTATATATTATTATAATGTAATTGTTAATTTTGTGTGGAGATTATTGATCATGACAGCATATATTTTCAATTAGAATATTTCTTTTAAAAAATAAAATAAAAAAGTCAAACTTCTAATTGTAGAAGATTTTTGAAAGGATTTTGCCAGCCTTACAAATCGATTATTTATGCAATAGTTATTTGATTATGTCTTTGATAAAGACATATTATGTTATGTTGTATACTATTATTTATATAAAACATTTTGTTATATCAGAAAAAAAAGTAATATTTGGACAAACATCACTTAATTATATTGATCACTCAGTCAATTTTATTGTAAAATAGATGTAAATGGAACAACAAATATAATTATAAAATTTCAGAAGAGTAAGTTTGAACACGTTAAATTGATAGAACACAAAATATCTATGATTTATTTGGTATTATTAGAGATGGTGACATTTCATTAAAATAGAACCACTTATTTCCAAATTAATAGAGATCGTCAATATTTGGTAAGGAGTTCTAGTTTTTAAAATAAAAAATAATAATAAGGGAAAGAAAAATAAATATAAAACCACACCCCAGCTAGCTAGGACCACCAAAAATTATGGTGAAGATGTGAATCGAGTACTCTGAATCTCTAACTATCAGTCTTGAATTTAATTTTTAAATATGATATCACTTTTAATTGTAGTGTCATAGTCATATATAATAATGAGTCCGTCGAACATCACTCATCAACAATTATATTGTGCATATAAAAAAAACAAATTGAATATTGGACGGCAAAAATAAAAAATGTCATCAAGTATATGATAGGATGTGATTTTTTCTGCACCTAACACGATATTTTTCATTTAAGTCATTAAAATAAAGAATCTCTTGAAGAAAAGTTTAGTGCATCAAACTAATGTGTTAGTTGATTCAGTGAATTTCGAATATAAATACTTCATAGGGGGTGACGAGGAATTAAATTTAGACTCTTTAAAAAAATAGTATTATGTGTTGGTGTTTATGCATTTTAATAGTAAAATTTAAATATTAAGTGCATATGTTCGTGGGTATAAACTGACAAGAAGGTGATCATTATTATGGTGTAACTCTTGTAACTACTATTATCCACGTTATTCTTATTCAATACAAAGAAGAACTCCTCCCCTGTGAATAGTGGTGTTTCTGTCTTTGTGAAATGTGTCTCAAAAGAAGACGAGAAGTGTGGAAAAATATTGTAGTGAAAGAGAAAGTAGAGACAAAGAAGAATATTTGAAGTGTTCAACTAATTTATTATACAAAAGAGGGTAATTATATGTTGAAGGAATGTGTTCTTTTTGTGGAGTTTTGAACTCTTCAACTAATCCAGAGTTGTTTGAGTTGTACGACGTTGTCGTGTTGTTGTATTCTAGACAAGTCAAGAGTGATATTGTTGGATTGGTGTAGATTATGTCGTAATGAGTTTGAATCTCCTTAAAAAAGGCGAAATATCATTGCATCAACCTGAATATATATTTTTATTTATTTTTATTATTTTATTCAACTCTAATTTATCATATTTATGGTATATTACAGCAACAATATATTTAATTTCATATATTTCAAACCATATGACTCATATTACCTTTTTTTTTTAAATGTACTAGTTGATTATTTATCAGTAGTTGAATATACTTCTATAAATTCACTTTGCATGACATATTTATCACCGAATTAGATCCCGATCAATTCAAGTGTTCATCTCTAAGAACGACGCTTTCAATATAACTCTTTTCATTTTCAGTATTCAAACTCGATACCTTTAATTGAATGTCAAGGATGGGATCTCAATCATTTGTCGCTTAGAGGTGTCAAATAACTCGGTTCAGTCCATTAATTTTTTTAAGATAACTACACCTTTTGCAACGACAATATGTTCTATTCGATTTAAAAGATCTTTTATAAAATCATTTAAGCATATTGGTGACATAAATGTTAACTTTCATATCGTATTAAATTTTGGTTAATTTGATTTTGCAGGGAATGTTTAATACTGCATTAGAGTTTGACTACTTCAAATTCGCGTTTTGCAGGACATATTTATGGTCGAATTAGAGCTCAACCAATTCAAGTGTTCATCTAGAATTTCTAGAGACGATGCTCTCAATATGATTCTTTTCATTTTCAGTATTCAAACTCGATACCTCTAATTGAATATGGTGTAAGGAGATCTCAATCATTTTATCTCTCGAGAGTCGAAGGTGTCAAATAATTCAGTTCGATCCAATATTTTATTAAAAAACAACTATACCTTAAAAAAAAAAAAAAACTTGAAATATTAGAGTGCCACGTCACATTTCTATGTCTCCCTTTATAATTGATAGAGTATCTATTTTTCCCTCTTAAACCTCTAAAACCCTAACAATGGCGATGTTGCTGAGACTTATTAATCGCCGTGAACTTGCTTCTTCTGCCTTCAAAAATGTAAGTTTATTTTTGTTCATTTTCTTGATTTCATTCATAAAAATCCATTCTTGGAGTTGTTTCTTGATTTTTGCAGTGTTTGAGAAAAAGCTTATTTGGGGTATCAGATCAACTATGTTACTATTCTTCTAGAGGTATGTAAAATTTGTAACTTGGGGTTAATGTATTACTGATATATTTTTCATATTAACTTATGTTGTACTTGGTTTTGGAACTTTTTACTGTTCATATATTGTAAAAATCCCTTCTTGGGGTTGCTCGGATAGTAAGCATGGTTAACCGAAAATGCTAAGTTGTGGGTTTGGAGCAAAAAGGTGTGGGCTTTTAGGGAGGGGTGAAAAAAAGAGGAAAGTTCAAATCTTAAGATTATGACAAGAGGGCTTGCTCGGATGGTAAGCATCCTTCAATGAAAATGCTAAGTTGTGGGTTCGGAGCAAAAAGGCGTGACCTTTCAGCTAGGGGTGAAAAAAAAAGAGGAAAGAAATGTTGAGAGTACAAGGAGAAGTAGTTCAAATGTTAAGATTATGACAAGAGGGGTTGTTTGGATGGTAAGCATCGTTCACCTTTAATCGTAAGTTGTGGGTTTGAATTACTAGTGGAGCAAAAAAATGTGAGCTTTTAGAGAGGGATAATACTACACTTTAATTTGAATTGAAGTAGATGACTTGAAAGCTTCTAGTTGGGCTTTGATGCTTCTATTCCCATTTCCCACGCCACCGTTTGGTCATAGGTTTTGTCAGTTGAAACTTGCAAATGTAAGCTTTTGAAGTTGAAACTTAAAATTTGAATTTCGGAAGTTGTGATTTTTAGAATATGAAGTTGAAACATGTTAATTTGAGTTTTAAAAATTGAGATTTTTGGAATTTGAAGTTGTTTGGACATGCATTTTACTTGAATCTTTTTCGAATTTTTGTGAGCGGAAGTCCAAAAAACCGAAAAACTTGTCTGAGCCAGTTTTTGGGAATTTGAAAATATTTGAAGATAAAAAAATCTGATTAAATTTCATGGCCAAACA